AAACCACCAGGCAGGCGACTGCCCCCACACCACAGCCACCAGAGCCCAGCTGCCTGCGCCGGCTGTACTCCTCTCAGGATAGAGCCGCCCGGCCTGCACTACTGTTTACCTTCTCATAGCTTAATGAGGAGGTAGAGAACCAGTGTGCATTCCTCATAAAACCACTGAGGCCTGGAAAGGACAGAAACAAGGACATGTAAACTGTAAGGGAGTGGCCTTCTTAGCTGGCCTCATGTGTGTAAATCTGTACGGTACAGGAGTATTGTGTGTGTGTGTGTGCCTCCGAAGACATTTTAACATGCAGAGATCCAGGGATTCAGTTAAGCCATTGTAAGATAAGATAAGATCACTTTATTAGCCTTATACAGTTTCTTGCATTAGGAATTGGTCTTTTTCGCATACCCCAGCTCGCTCTCCATGAGATACAGACACACAGACAGAGAGACGTTTGGGGTCAGAGCGCAGGATCAGCCATTGTACAGCACCCCTGGAGCAGTTAGGGTTAAGGGCTTTGCTCAGGAGCCTAGCAGAGTAGGATTCCTCTGCCGGTCGTGGGATTTGAACCGGCAACCTTCCAGCCACAGGCGCAGATCCTGAGCCACAGAGCCACTGCTCTGCCCCGCCCTTTTTAAAACAGATTTGTTGCCTTTAATCTGTGTTGGAAAATCCAAATGTGATGAAAAAACGCAGAGAAGTATTGTGAACAGGAATTTGGCAATTATAGAAATAGAAAACTATTTTATTTGATAGATTCTATTGTTCATGTTAGAGGAAGCGCAGTGTAGTAGGTAGGGCTTTGGACATATGTTGGACAGGTTGTGGGTTCGAGTCTCTGCTCCAGACACTGCTGTTGTGCATTGAGTTGAGGTGCTTTACCCAAGTTGCTCTGGTCCACCCCACTGTGTAAGTGGGGGTGATCCCTGTGGTCGACTGGCATCTGATCTGGCGGAGGAGTCGCATGCTCTCTCAGTGAGTCACTGTGGCTCTGGTACGGTGGCATTAAAGGTGTCACTGTCCGGCTGCGCAGTGGCTTGGTTCGTTTCCCCTTGGCCGTTGCTCATCATGCTAGCTGCTGCAGCATTTTGTCGATGTGCATTACCTGAGGATGCAGCTTTCTCCAAGTCCAGTCACAGTGTCATGACGACACCACACATCACCACACATCGGTTACACGAAAATCCAGACTGAGAGGAGAGAGCAGCACAGGAGGGGCCTTCAGAGACACTTGAACAGACTTGGAAATACAGTATGGGAAAATGCTGCAACTGAATGACTAGGATTTTGACCTTTTCACCACTTTTTACAATGAAAAGTAGATGAAGGGCATATAAAAATAAAAACTATCCCAGTATCTGTCTTCTGCGAGGATTGTTAGTTTATGAAATTTACTCTCAACTCACAAATATGCTTTTGTTGTCCAAAACATCCTAAAAATGGTAAGGTTTTGACTGTGGGGTCTGCACCAGATGCCCATAAAAAGACGAGCACTTCTTTAAGCTGTTTAATGTGTGGAACAATGATGTTTATCCCCAACAGGGAAACATCTTGGATTTAAGACAGAATTCTCTGGAAAGTTCAGTTCGGCATTTGCAAGCAAGTTGGGGCATATTTCCCTTTATCCCTTCTCGCTCCCATGGTGTTTTAACACACATCCAGAGTGGCTGATGTGACAGGGTAACAGAAAATCCATCCAGGGAGACCAGTCCCTGGTGTGAGCCAAGGATCTGCAGAGGTGTAACGTCCTGTAAGCTGTCTGCGCCTCCCTGTGTCAGATTTTCACAACACCCCTGAGAACGTGTGTGAGAAAATATGCAGTCGGTGTCTACTGAGATCAAACACCAAGGGAATCAGCCATACCTAAAACAGAAACGAAAAATCTATTGTAACTTTTAACAGAGGAAGCTTCTAGATTAGGGTTCTTCAGTCCTAGCCTTCCTGAAGGGAGGACTAATGCTTGCAAGTTTTCATTCCAGCCCTCTCCTAAGTACTTTAGTCTGGTTATTATGGGCTTGAAAGAACCAATTGAAGAGCATCTCCCGGCTGTAGAGTCCTAGAAAAACTGCAGACACACCATCTCTTGAGGAGCAGGATTGGAGAACCCTGTTATAGACCATCTGAACTTCCAGTCATACATTGCCAACCTCTTCATGGCGAGTTTCCATTGGAAATATGAAGAAACGAGTTGCTGTTAAGACCCGAAGCAAGGCAATATTAGAAAATGCCTCAACTTATATGTGACAACTAGTGCACAGATGTTGAGACTGTTTTTCTATTCTTTTTTTATTCTTACCCCAAATAATTTATTTTAATTTGTTTTTGTCATACTCACCCACTTTTGGAATCACCAGTTGTGTTTTTCAGGTCTCGACTCGCAATTGCAAAACCCACAACCGCACACGGGAAAACGAAAAATCTCGTCTTTTAACATGTCATTAGCACCACAGCACCACCATGCCTCACTAATGGCACCATAGGGCTGCATAATAAATGTAACAGTCAGTTAGTACCATGAGTAGAGTTCGAACCCACTGCACCTGGATCACAAAGTACAACCTGCACTCAAGTGAGCTCTTTGACTGGTGGAGTTAGTCAGGATGCTCCCAACATTATTTTTACAGGTACATTGACTGGTACCCTCTTCACTTTGAACAGGTCTGTTTCTGCATTGAATTATTTGTAGAACCTGCTCACATACGATTGGAAATACAATATGTAACTGTGCATGTTTTTAAAGAAATATAATTTATTCATTGTGTAGTGTGTGCAAACTGGACAAGTTGGTTTTTGTACAGATTTGAAAAAAGATATAATAGCAGTTGGGCAGAAGAAAATGAATAAGATGCTCTGTGGCGCAGAAGGATTCTCATTTCCAGAAGCCACCAGTGTATTTGTTTGTGCAGATGCCTGTGTTATTATACCAAAAGCTTACAATTTCATTATCCAGCTCAGTGCTGAAATGTTAAACTACTTATAAACAGTTATTAAAGCTATTCCAAGGAGACATTTGATGTAGCATGATATTGCCGTTTATAACGTACTGTAACCTTGTTTAAGCATAAGCAGACATTTCCACCATGCAGTGTGGGCTGTGAAGTTGAGCTGTTCTCAACATGTTTTTGAACCAGGGATGCTAAGCTAGAAGTGTCGTAAGGTAGTTCGGTCAACTCAGTCACTTTCTGAGTTTCAGGATGTGCCAACTTTTAAGAAGGTTTCTGACATATGTACATAGTGTACATTTATGCAAATTGACTATTATATAATGGTAAAAAATGATTAAAGTCTAGCAAGCATAGGAAGCATGGCACAAATATTCGGAAAACCATAACTAAAAAGCAAATGCATGGAATGAACATACTGAGACCACCAGGAAAAACTCCGGAAAATACCATGAAAATGTAACCAGACCGACTTATGTCGTATCGTTATATATCAGTCTATCTTGTGTTCTTCTCTCATTTCTGTGGAGAAGTGCAATAAAAACTGAGAACTGTTTCAGCCAAAAGGCTGTGGTAGTCAGAAACAAGTTACTCAGCCATGCTGCAGAAGCTGATACCTTGGCTACTTTCAAGAAATGGCAGGATGAGATCCTCAGATCAAATAGCTACATGCACCCAAACAGCCTCCTGTTGTTTGCAACCATCATGCTCATATATACTTGACCATGGAGTAGTGGAACATATCCACAGAGAAGCTGCTGTAGTATACTGTACATCCTGGGCATAATGGCATTATAGTTAGGCTTGGTTTCATACACACTCAGGAACCAGGTGTTTTTTAACACAAGGTGCTAACTAGCCTATGCCTTCCCAGAGCTGTGACTAATGATTTAAAATAGAGCAGAAATTAAATATCCCAAGAGAGCAAGGCACTTTTTACACGGAGGAATGTACTGTAAATTATTCATGCTGTCAAGTAGTTGTTCCGTAAGAATAAAAAAGGTTTTTTGTGATGCTAAGCCCCATGGAATGTGGAGAATTTCAGCTGTTTAGAGTTCTTGTAATAACTGTCTGCCAGGCACTGGCTGTTCTCTTGCATTTCTTACAGCCTGGTTGGTCCCCCTCCAGCTTTTCCTGAGTCTGTTAACGAGACGCCTGGATGCTAACGCAGGCCCTGAACAAAGAGGAAAGTCCTCTGTCCATGTTGTTTTTCCGAATTCTTTGTACAGTATTTCAAGGAGTATAAGCTGAATTGTTTTATCTTAGGTTCAAAGAGGTTATTTTTTATATCCGTTACGTCGGAAAAAGAAGTATATATTTTTTGTTTTAAAAATAAAACAGACCTCTTGGCCCAGAAGTATTTTGCTTCACCGGTACTTGACTTTTTTACGGCATATCTTCTTTAGAATCTCTACATATATTGTACTTGAGAATCTCTTTTTCCATTAAGGGGGTGTTGCGATCATAACTTAGCCTTCTCTTTCACACATCCAAATTATATCCCTCCTTCTTAATTCTAGGGTTGTATCTTTTACATAGTTTTTCAGTAATTTCACAAGGCTATCTGTGAAAAATATAATTTTTCCTAATAGTCTAAACCATAATTTCCATTCAAAAATCTCTTCTGACACAATGAAAAAATAAAATCACTTTAGAAACTCTTTTCCTGTCGTGTTCTCACTGCTCTTTGAGACCGTGTATTTGTCAACTAAATTAGAAACAGCCACTGAAATAATTCACTGCAATATCAAAGGGTGTGATTGCAGAAATGTTTTTTGGTGTTGGTTTTGCTGAGTGTAATGCCGGGTCAGGTGCCTAGTTCTGACTTGTCCAAAGGATGGAGCTGTCATGAGGAATAATGACAAGCGCTGTGGTTCCTGGCCACTGCACATTGTAACAATGGCAACCTTGTACTGTATGTAACATGACTGCAAGACCACACTTCCAAAGAGAGAGTCTCCCTCTCTCCTGGAAGGAATATAGTTTTGAGATTTTCCTCCATTATATCTTGGCTTCCTTTCCATTGCCTCATGCTGAATTTTTAACTGCTTTCTTCTCTTGCAGCTGCAAGGATCAGTGAAGAGGAAGTTGGCGGATGACAGCTCACCCACAGTGAACGGCCTCTCCGATGGGATGATCCCTGGGAACAGCAAGAGACCCTGCCTGGAGGATGTCACGTTGTCCATGGGTCCTGGCTCTGGGTCATACTCCTCAGGCACTGGGTTAGGTGGCCACTCAGGGCTTTTGGATGGGAATCAATTGAATGGTAACAGCATAAGCTCCCATTTCTCAGTTCCCCCCAGTGCCGACATCAAGCCCAGTCCTAGCGCAGCTGGACATGGGGGTATGTTACCCCCTTTTGACCCTAATGGGAACAACCGTGCTCCCTCTGTGGAGCAGGAGCTTCAAGACATCCTGGATGAGCTGACTAAAAACCCTGATCCATCCCTTCATGAGCTGGATATTGAAAAGATCCTGGGGAACAAGAGCGATGATCAGGTGAATGTCAGCTTTATGCATCCCGACAACAACTGCACTCCCAAACGCTCTCCTCATAGGACGTCCCATTTGGAGAGTCACCTGACTAGCAAGGACTTCTCCCCAGGCTTCAGTCAGGCTCCAGTGGGGTCGCCCCAAGTCGGGCCTCCTCCTTCTGGTCCTCCCTACTCCCTGTCCCACACTGCCAAAGCCGTCCCTTCTCCCCTCTCATCTAGCAGCCAGAATCAGTCTCAGAGCCAAGCGCGTTCACCCATGTTGTCTGCAGCCCTGTCGAGCCGCCCGGGCACGAACTGGCACGAAGTGTCCCGGGCCCAGCAGCTGCAGCAGATGGCCAGCAACAAACACATCTCCACTCCGCCGCAGCAGCCATCGGCCCAGACCTCCAACTGGCCAGCCATGCCGTCTTCTGGGCCCTCTCCGCCCTACCGTGAGAAACTGTCAAGTTCATCACCACACCAGCAGCCATTCAGCCCTGCCAACAGCATGCAGAGCCCCCAGAGTGCCATCATCTCCAGTATGGCTCCTGCACCTTCCACAGGTCCCTCCCCTCCCTACAGACCAGAGAAGCTCGCCAGTCCAGCCTTGGCACAGCCTCCCTTTAGCCCTCAAAATTCCCTCCTGCCCAGCATGGCACCTACAGGAGGCACTATCCAGAGCCCCCAAGCCAACCTGTTGCCCAGTATGCCCTCCTCAGGCACTCGGCCTTCTCCACCCTACAGGCCAGACAAGCTTTCCAGCCCAGCTGTCCAGCAACCCTCCTTCAGCCCTCAGAATGGTTCTGGAGCCACCATGTCAAGCCAGCTTTTTAAAGCCATAACATCCAGCCAGTCCACCAGCCTCAATATGCTAATGCAACAGCAGCAGCAGCAAAGCCAGTCGGCCCAACAGCCACCCCAACAGCAGCAGCCACCTCCGCCACAGGGGGCTCCCCCCCCACCTGGCACGATGCCGCAAGGACTCCTGACCAAGGGGGCCATGGGCCAGGATCCCTTCTCCTTCAACAACACGAAACCGCTCAGCCACTTTGACCCTGACCCTCCCCCCACGCAGAAGATGGCGTCCATTCCCAGCGGGCCAGGCCAGCCGTCGCTGAGCCACTACATGTCCCAGTCGTCGAGCTCGGGAATCCCACAGGCCCCCTCTGCCAGCCACCCTCAGCTGCTCCAGCAGCAGCGCATGCAGAGGAGCCTGGAGCCCGGAGGCCTGGTGCCGCATAGCAGAACAGTGAGTACAAGCGGGGCCGACACCTTTTGATCGATTCACTTTAGGGGCCAGAACTTGGAAAGCAGACTTAGAAATGACAAATTAACAACCAATTTATTCCTTGACCGAGACAAGTAGGTGGAATTTTTCAGTTGGGCAGGTATTGTGAATGAGTAACAAAGCATCAAAAAACAGTGGCCAGTCAAGATTATGCTTTCTCCAATAAATATTTGCTTCAATAATTTCTTTAATAGGTGTTCTAGGAACAAAGCTTTTCGGTGTTGCCTGAATTTAGGAAATTCCAGGCATTTTATTCTACTGCTTTTTCTCTGGCATGACTGTGGTGTTTTTATTGAGTTCATCCCTCAAGAGTTTCTTTACCAAGTGACCAGGGGGCCTGGGGACAGCCAGTTTGTGGGTTAGATGGGACAGTGCAAAGTGCCGTTACTGTTCTGTTGTATGGTTCATAATCTACAGCTCGGCTTCAAAGCTTTCTGCTGGTACTGTGTAGCTACCAACGTCCTTTGGAAACAAAACAGGTGGCTGTCCTGTGTTGGTTAAAAGTGAAATTACAAAATGTAATTCTGAAAAAGTCAGGTTTTCCATTTGCGATGAGAAATAGCCACCTGCAGTTATCTGAGGGGACCTGCTTAATCTAGCTCTCATGTGCTGCCCTATTATGTAAAAGCAAGTCCAATACACAGTAGACTAGCGGGAGTGGTGAGAAATTGCCTTCTCAATTCAATTAAAGGAGAAGTCGAGGGAAGCCTAATTGATCAGGTCCAGAGTGGAATTTAGCCTGGGACAGTGAAGGGTCTCCAGTCACTTAAGTGGGGGGCAGGCTTTCATATACTGTTTCAGAGGGAAGAGCACCTCCTACTGGTTGACCAATACAATTTATAGTAGCAACATCATAATCCTAAGAGGGCTCCCTTTCCGGTATTGACCAGGACCACCTTTGCTAAAAGTCTGGGATCTGATGCAATTGGGATAATGCTAGTGTCATTTTAACAAAATTGCGGTTCTAGCTCCAAAGCAGATTTAATGCAGAACAAAGTGGGGTGATTTACCGAAGGTTTAGTGCCATGGCTTCAGTAGTTCTTTAGTGACAGTATGGTAATAACAGGAATTTATATAATCTACCTTCAACTAAAGTATTTCTACTTCATCACATGTATATACATATTGTTTTTTTCTTGTTTGAAACAATCATTATTATAAGAAAATGATCTTCTGAAAAAGCAAACCTTCCTCAATTGGAAAGAGAGGATGTGAAGAACTTCAGTGTTACCTTGACTGTGACCTTCATGCTTCACCAACGAACCACTGTGCTTAATGCTGTGCACCATTCACTTACTGTACCTACTGAAAGTAAATGGAAAATAATGCTTCCCTAAAACAAATTTCCATTAGGGCACACTAATTTCCACACTGCACACTGTGTCTGGAGAAAAAGTTTAATACAGTATCATGGCAAAAATGTGTTTTTGTTCTCTTGCCCTGTCAAGCTTTTCAGCAGTGAAGCTGCCAAGAATGCTGGGTATTTTACGAGGCAACCAAAATAAGCACCCAGAGTTACAAGAGGGTTATTTTGCAGGAGATAAACTGTCTAATTGCTTTTATCACACATTTGGTTCTGCGTCTGTGCCAGTTTTGGATCTGAACGCCCATTTTCATGCATATTCTGAACTAGGAACTCTTTAATTATTTTGCTAAAGCTTTCGGAGTTGCCAGCAAGAGGAGGGAAAGAGGGGATTGTGGGGGATGCTGCCAAACGGATGACCTCACAGCTGTCTCCCGAGTTTGAACGGTTTGATTTTGTGCGGAACAGTTAGAGAAGGAGGAAAGGGGACAGTGAAACTTGCCCACTTAGCACATTCTTATCGACTGATCTTTTTAATTAAAATTCTCTTTTGGTGATGGTTACCGATCGGTTTTGTGGCTTTCAGTCAGGTTCTGAGCAACATGGGTGCCTGCAAGCTCTGACTCGCACCCCCTCCCCTCATGAGAACTTCAGGAGTCGAAAATATTTAACTCTGGCAAAATATTTTTCTTGATTCATAGCCTAAGAATGCTGTTGTCTCCTTTTTTTTGTCTGGGGTTTTGGTATTTTTAATGACTGGGGATATGTAACTTATTGAATGAGTTTTATTTTTTCCTGGAGTTTAGACCGTAAGCTACTGTACCACGTTACTGTTCAAACCCTTTTTTTTCCTCTAATGCGGAATTTTAATAATGACACAAACCAGTGTTTAAGGTATTACTTGTTCATTGAACTATGTGTTTTCTGTTCAGCTACAGGCACAGTAATTGAGCTTTAACAAGCTCAAGTAAAGTTAAAATAGTTGCTGCTCTCTGATGTGCATTTCTATGTCATGATTTCTATAAGAACAAGTGTAATTAGAAGCAGAGCATTTATCACTTCAGTTTGTTTTAGTTTGTAACCAAATAGCTTCATTAAAGTTTCTGTGCTTTTTATGTTGGGAGTGTTTGAAAGTGTTTTTCGCACTTATTTTTCATATCATTATACAGAAAAGCCATCACTAGGACTTTAACATAAATATCTTGTGCCTTTTGTGGCATTAATACAAAATTACCAGAACATTTACTGTCCTTCTGCACAGTAACATACAGTAGACCCACACATTATTATTTTGTAAATGGTGAACCATGAACCTCTGCTCTCTTAGCTTAAACTGTAAACATAGATACATAGAAACCAATGCACAATCTGCAAAGGAGTTTAATATTTTTCTTGAATTAAAGTAGAAAAGGAATATACCAGTCAGCAGGTTCTTTGAAATACAGTATAGTCTTAAAATTACCAAGGATTTTCACCTCAAACAAGGTACTAAAATAAGTCGTTTGCATTAGACATAAAAAAGATTGATATAGTTAATGGCACAATTACTGTTCTTGTAACAGAGCCACATTCATTTGCTTTTACTTTAAATCCCGACTGTTCTGAAGGAATAGTTTTCAGGAAGCTGAGATGTACTACTGTAACAACAGAGCTAATTTTTGTTGTGTCGCAGCAGAAATTTTTCTAGCTGAATTTTGGAAGATGAATCTAGATTTTAAACACACCCAGAAACAATCAATATTGGCTATAATTTGAAGGCTGGAGACACACAGACACTGCAGTCTCAGCACCTTGTATTTTGTGTTTCCCTCTAGCACAGATGTCAGAGATACTCAGCTGCTGTTGGCCTAAGAAGTTAGCCAGTGTAATAGACGAGTATCTGTTACATACATGCTGGAGGATTGCTTAATGGTGTCCAAAGGCCACGACAGTCCACATGTGCGCAAATTGCGGAGTAAGTCTCATTGAAGGCGGGGGGTTGGAGCAGGATGCAAAGAGAATGTTGGGAAATGCGATCCATGGGGCTGCACACAAAACATAGATCACTGCTGCCGCTGTATGACACTGGGGGAAAAATGACTTTTAGTTGTGAAAGTAAGTAAGAGGGGAAGCTGTTTCTCTCTGTTGGCTGCCCCAATTCCAGTGATCATCTGTAGAACAAGGCAGTGTAAATTGTCTAGTGATATAATTACATATACAGTATATGCCTATGTATGTGGATGGAGCTAGTGTGGTTATAGATAATCTGCGAATTGCCTTTGAGGGCTATTCAGAAACTCCAGTGGGCCAGTAAACCCACATCTCTGGATTGGCATGTGGCTTTGTGTATCGGGAATAGGCGGCAGTCGTTCATCATCAGCCAGTGATCGTTGCCCTCACAAAATACCCACAGCTGTTCCACAACACCTTGTTGCCCTCTCCAGCCTATCCTCTTCGTTATGCCTGGATCAAACGTTAAGGCATGTGTAGGAGATCCATCTCTTGGATTAGACCTTTTTAAAAGTCACATTGACTGTTCTTTTCTAATCCCCCAAAGTTGGATCCTTGAAATCATGCTGAAGACTGGCTCTCGATAACTTTTCAAACAACGTATTTTGTTTTTTTTTTCAGTTTTTCAAGCAATTCAAGCAATTTCAATTTGGAGTTCATCATTTAGATGAAAATGGGTAGTTATACGAAACTTAACAATTAGGGTTGTGGACTCTAGAGTGGAGGGTAAAGGGCTCAAAACCAGTTGGGTTCCTGTTGTATCCTTCTGCAAGGTATCTGTAGATAACTTCTACCATCTATACCCTGCAAAATAAATAGGCCTCCACTATCAATAAGAATAAAAAATAAAGTATCTTGTTCTTTTTTGTTCAGTCTGCATTTGTAGGTGTTTGTGTAGTTCATATATCTACACACATACCTGTACATAAAATTGAATGGTTCATTTGGAACCATGAAAGTCCCTTTGAGACTGTGACAGACTGTAACAGCCAGAGCACCTAGTGTGTTAAAAACTATCCTTTAAAACATGAAGTTCACAGAGGAGAAACTGAAGCTGAAAACTGCTGAGATTTATGGTCATCTCACCTAGACAACCTCCTCTGTTTTGTTACTAGAAGCTTGTCAGTCCCACAAACAAGCACAAGCTTTTAATTGATTGGAAAGCTGGCTTTGGATTTAGAGATTGGTGTTACATCATTCTTTAGGTTTACAATAGTTCTTTTTAAAATTAAAAACACGTTTGTTGCGGGTTTTATGGCTGTTATGCCAGACACCTAAAATATGCTAGATTTGGTGTGTGTAATTAAAAATATCATTATCTTCTTGTTAGCTGTGGAGTTACTTCCAACAGAATATTGTGATCAAAGGAATTACTACATTAACAGAGAAAGTCAAAGGCAGGCTTCTGCATTTGGGCCAATGTGCCTGCTGTTTTTTCTGTTATTTCTTTATATCCCTCGTGTTTCCAATTATCGAGCACTTGTTTGTGTTGTTGGTCCCAGAATGCTCTTGCTGTCTTCGGCAGGTACGTGGTGACTGAGGTAAACTTAGTTAATTGTAGTGAGCAGGAAAAATGAAATGAATCAGCTTTTCAGTTGGTGTTGAGAGGTTCTGTTGTTATTTACTGCAGTTTATACTTTAGGTCCTGTAAAAATGCTTGAACTTTAAG